TAGCATCAATACCGATTGTTAGTCGAAAAGCAGTTAGTAATATTATCTCATGCTCACATATACCATGGCTTACCATGTTATTTGTCTTCTGATTTAGTTAGAAAATCTATTGTTTTCAAGACGGGCAAATAGATGTCTTCAAAATTGATCAAAATAAAAATGTTGTTGAAAATTCCTTGTTTCTGTTCTCTGCTTGCAGCCTTCAATTATTTATCACTAAATTTAACTTGAATTTACACTATGATTTTTGAAACTCTTCTGCAGAAAGTAGAAGAAGAAATTTGAAAAATTTGTATCGCAGGGAAAAGATAATGAGCCCAACAATGAATATCAGATAACTGAAAGAGCTTTTATGATGCAGGTGAAAAATCATTGTGAAATGTTGTCAACTCGGTAAACTTCCAATACATTTTGCAATGGAGCAAAAATTAAGAAAATGAATCTGTGTTATCTGTTTAGTTTTAGGACTATGGAAAGCAAAAGAAAAAAAAAATTATTTTGATTTGCTGTGAAATTAATCAACAAAAATTTTAATTTGCTTTTCAATTTTTTTTTTTGTTGTTGTAAAATTATCTTTACTCATTTTTTTTTTCTATTCACTCAGCCTATGATTAATGTATGACGAATGTATAATCGGTTATGAATTAGTAAGTAGCAAAAAATCACTGATACTGACTGATAACAATGCTCAAAATGCTGTTAGCACTTCCTGTCGCTTCTATTGTGCAACAATGAAGAAAAGTTTCCTTTTAACAAATCAATCGTTTTGCTTGTGTGCATTTGAAAAGAAGGACTTTTTAGGGTAGAATTTTCAAGAAGAAGAAGAAGAAGAAGAAAAAAAGCATATGTTTAGAAGTGGGGTTAGCAGAAAATATCAATACAACTAAGCCAAAAATTTGCTTACAGAAAAAGTAGAATTGAAATCAAAAGTTAAGACAAAGCCAAAAAAAAGGGTGCTTCTAGAAAGGCACTCTTTTTTCGCTGGCTTTGTCATATCTTATTTTCCTATACCAAATTTTTGATTCTGATTATTATTTTTAGAAGCTTAAAAAAGAAGACAATATACTGTTTAGGAGAATTGCTAAAATTTAGTGTTTTGTTTAGGAATGTGAAAAAAAAAAAAAAAAGATGTGGCAAAAATTTTACCTCCACTTTTACTTAGGCCTTGATTCATGCTTTTTAATAGTTCGGCCATTACCCGCTTCAGAACTGCATCGCTTAACACTAATGATTTGCATGTTTCCTCAATCTGTAAATTGATCATTGAACAAAGTTAACAGTGGTAAAACAAAAAAAAAAAAAACAGAGTTTAATCAATGTTTGAATAGCCAAAAAAAAAAA